ATAGGTGGTCATGTATCAGTCTCTTAATGACTCCTAAGCTGGCTTTATTGAGGTCCTAGGTTGTTCATTTTTATAAAACATGAAACTGATGAAAGTGTATTTTTCTAATTTCATAATCCCCTTTCCCCAAATCCCCACCCTTTCTCTCTCCCCAACCCTAACAAACAAGAAAATAACCATCAAAAAAAAAAAAAAAAGAGAAAAAGAAAATAACCATCAATCTTTGTCTCTTTGGTTATCCCAATGGTTGACAGTCTTATTTCGTGTTGAGAGCTTATGTATCCTTTATAGTTTTAAGTGTGATTTGGCTTTGAATTTTTTAGGTTATACTGCTGTTGGAGATGTTAATGTGAAAGAAGAGACTCCATTCTTGGGCAGAGTCAAGTACGCATGGATTCTTTACTGCCTCTACCTTTAAGGCAAATAGTTTTATCTTGATTTTCCTTTTGGACTTGTGTGATTAGGATGGAAGATCAAAGAAAAGAAGCTTCAACAGGACGTGCCTCATCTTGCTTAGCGTCTGGTACAGCAATTGTTTTAACTTGAAAGTCTTATTTGTGTCTCCTAAGCTAATAAAAACTAAAAAGGGAAAATATTAAAGATGCTGGTTGAAGAAATTCCAATAGTGATGATGACAGAGGACTCTACATATGCAAAGAAAATAGGCTTTATGGTGTCAGGATTTAACAACCATGACATGTGGTTGATCATTTCATAGTTAATTATGTATTCACAATTTATGTTAGTATGTATGCACAGAAAGAACAACTATTTAGAGAGTGATTAGCTCCAGTATGAATAAGACCTATCTCTTGTAATAACTAAAAATAATGCCTAATTTTATACTGAACATTGTCATTTTATTATAATGCTTACTGAAGTGGAAATTGTCTGAATCCATTCTTTGGTGTTTTGTGCCTGTTATCCCGTGTTGACATAATTTTGTTTCCATAGCGGATGTGGTCCCTGGTGGTGCTCCAACAGGTGCTGGTAAAAGGTTATCCAGCATGGGCCCTAGTAAGGATGGCCATGATGGCATTAAACTAGAAGGTATGAACTGCTCATTCCTTGAATTCGTGTCTGAGGTGTATTGTTTTGGTGCATTACATCTGAAATCTGATTAACATAGTTGTTTTGTAATTTCTGTAAAAAATACAGAAGTGGAACTGCTAATGGAATATAAGATTTTCTGCTTTTAGTTTTATTTTTTGGTTTGGGGGGTGGGGGTTATAGCTTCTGTAGCATACTTCTTTTATGATTTGTGTATCCATGCATGTTCAGGGATTGAAACATGAGACACAAAAAAGAAATTGTAGCGGAGTTGGAGATATTCATATTTTAATTTTGAATATTTCTACTTGAATTAACCAATTACTTCCAATGTTGTATTCTACTGGGAATTATTTTGGAATCCAATCATCAAGACTAAACCTATTTATTTCAAAGTAGATGTGCAGTTGTAGAATTTATAAGTTTGTATTTATGCTATACACACACACACAGAGATATATACATATAAAGTATAAATAAATAAAAACTGATGAATGCTTGTGTAGTTTCCCTAGCCACATATTTTTGGTTTGATGCTAGCAAACAAGCAGTATTTCGCCAAAATGTTCAGATCTGGCAAAGCCCTAAATGTTCAAACCCCTAGCCACATAGTCTCACCCCTATCTGTTAGAGAATTTTTTATTTTCTGTTTGAAGGAAATTTCAAATGTAATCTCTTTAGTTGTACTACCAGATTCTCATGCAGACAGGAGTGTTGGAGAGAAGAAGCCTAGGACTTCAGGAGATGAAGGACCTTCTATAACAGAACTGAGTGGTTATAATTTCAAGAGACAGGAGTTTGAAATTGAATATGATAATGATGCTGAGCAGTTATTGGCAGATATGGAATTTAAGGATACAGATACAGATGCTGAACGTGAACTGAAACTTCGAGTGCTGCATATATATTTGAAGAGGTAAACCTGTATCGTTTCTTTATGAGTAAATTATTCATCTTCCTCCCTGTGTATTTCAAAGACAGCATCACTTCTTACTCCATTATCTTTTGCAACCTCCTTTCGATATTTATCAAGTACTCATGATTTGCACAAGTATGGGCTCCCATACTCTCATACTGAAGATGGTTGTATCAAATGCATTATCTCCCATACTCTCTTACTGAAGATGGTTGTATCAAATGCATTATTTAGCACTCTCTCTTAGTATTTATGCTATTATGTTGTATGAGGAACTTTTGAAATACAGTTTTGTCATTTGGACTGTTTCCTTATCCTGATGCATTTCCTCACTTGCTATCTGGGTGATGTGATTTCAAGACCATGCATTGTATGAGCAAATTGGGCCACAAATGTGTAAATTTTTTTGAACTTACTTTTAGGGTTAATTATTTTGGATTTTGGAAGGGATTTTGCTAATCTGGAATTGATGTTGGCCAAATTTATGATTATCTCTGACTTCTAATTAAAATCTTAGTTCCGTGCTAAATTTTGAGATAAATGCTAATAGAAATTTTCTTTTACTGCAGTATCCAACAGAAAGTTATTGGCACCTTTATACACATGCACGTGTGCACACACCAGAACAAACTCAATGTGGTATACACTATACAGATAGACAAAAATGCGTGAAATTTGTTAGTAGGAAGTTAATAGGATGATAGAAGCAATAAATATATAATGACCAGCAACATGGTAAATAAATTTCCACATTAGATTTGATATAAGTTCTATAAATTATTAAATTATAACATTTGTTATTATGGAAAGTATGAGTGGAACTAGACCATATATCCCTTCATTTTTTTTAAAATTCTGTTTGCATGGGCTAATTTCATTTATTTACTTATTTGTTTTTTATTTGCAGGCTTGATGAAAGGAAACGCAGGAAGGACTTTATCTTGGGAAGAAATTTACTTTATCCTGACCCTTTTGAAAAGGACCTCACCCCAGAGGAAAAAGAAATATGTCGTGGGTACAGGGTGTTTATGAGATTTCATTCAAAAGAAGAGCATGAGGTGTTACTAAGGAGTGTTATTGAGGAACATCGTATCTTGAGAAGAATACAAGATCTTCAGGTTGGATTCACTGCGTAATGTTTACATCATATTCTAGAGAGTTTTCCCTTTTTACCCTAACTTTTATCTTGAAGCTGTATTACCGGTTTGAAAAGTTCTGGTTACTAAGGACAATGCTAACTCCGTAATGGTTGTGTCCTTGTCAAATAGTGTTAGATGAACCAGCACTCTTTGGAAAGACTCTGCCAAGGGCATACAAAAAATCCTTCTTTTTCTATTATATGCCTATCAGATTTACTTGGCAGTTCTCACTTCTCACATTGTGTAAAGTTTTTGTTTTAACTATCTTTACGCATGAATTGTCTTAACTGGTCATATGTTAGAAGTACCCTGGCTTCAAATGGCTACCACAAAATATTGTGTATATGTGACATTATGCTGCATATTTCTGTTAATAAGCTTGTTGGAAATAAACTTCTATTATATATCCTTGCCCAGGAAGCACGAGCTGCTGGTTGCCGAACTTCTGCTGAGGCTGAAAGATATGTTGAGCAGAAGAGAAAAAGGGAAGTGGAAGAGAATACCCGTAGAGTGAAGGAGAGTATGCAGACTGCCGCGAATGGCAAATATGTTCAAAGAGCTAACAGTATTAAAGAAGAACATGACAGCAGCCCCCGAGGAGGTGTTAGAGGGCCTGTTGTATTAGATTCTAGTGGAAAGGACTTTTCATCAACCCCTTCAGAGAATTTTGTTGGAAATGCTGTAGACAATTGGGATGTTAGTGGATTTATTGGTGCTGATTTACTCTCTGAATCTGTAAGGACAGCTTTCAGTTTTCACTAACTTGTTCTATTATGTTATTAGTGGTTAATTGAGAACCTTAATCTCTACCTTACCCTCTTTATACTCTTCATTTTGGAGATTCTGACTATGAATTCCCTGACTGACATGCAGGAGAAACAGCTGTGTGGTGAGATCAGAATTTTGCCTACACATTATCTAAACATTCTGGAAACCCTGTCTACAGGCATTTTAGGTGGCAATATCACAAAGAAAAGTGATGCACATGGTCTCTTTAATGTCGATCCAAGCAAGGTGGACAGGGTTTATGATGTTCTCGTCAAAAAAGGGTTTGCTCCAGCATGATGCTATCATTTTGATCATATCGAAGGTTATCACGAGGTAATTCAAAAGTGTTGCTGAAGAATTGGTGTTAAATAGCCAATTGTGTGCTTCAAGTGAAAGATTGGCAGGTATGGAGCTACTTGTTATAGAGCAGTGATACTAAATAATGACAGTCACAGAATGGACAATTTGATACACATTATTGTTTACTTATAGGACTTAGGTAGCATATAGATTGTATTGATAGTATGTTAAGTTATTCTGACAGACAACAGGACATTTAGGTTGCACCCAAGGCCTAGTAAATGTGCTAGGGTGCAACATCAGATGGGCACTTGGGATGTTGTGTTTGGCTGTGCAGAAGAGGAGCACTGTAAATATGTAACTATTTAATCCCTGCTGTTCTAGTTCTCATTTAGGTGCCTGTTTCCACTTTGTTAAGAGTGTTTTCCTTTCAGCTGAACAGAGATTCTAAAACAGCAGATATGAACAAGCCACAAGTACAACCTTGGGCAATGTAATTGCAGAACAGCTAATTTATTTATTTATGTTCTTTGTTGGAACTGATTACCTTGTTTTCTTCTAGTAAAAATGATAAGTGAGTGGGCAACCCCAACCAAGTTGGTCAAGCTATTGATTTAGTAACCACAAGATTACAAATTTTTAGCAGGAGCGGCCTATTGGCCTTCTTTTTAGTGCATGTTTATTCAGTTCACACCCTCAGACAGATGATGCGGGTGTACTCTTATTACATGTCTAGATTTTATAGAAAATAGAAAAAGGAAATGAATGAAAACTGACTATTTGTTCTGAAGTAAAAAGTGAAAGTACATGTAATATTCATCGTTCTTTTACTTGTTCTTTCTCGACTTTTTCTTGTCCCTTACAAGCCACTGGACAATCATATCTGCCAAGAATGTGAACCCAATTGTCAATCCAGCTACTACTCCAAACCCAAATCCAGCACCTGCAAATTTCCAATCAAACATGGCTTCAGTTTCAGAGCTCTCACCCTGTGATGGTTCCAAAGTATTGCCAACATCTGAACTACATTTCCTTGAGAGTGGAGTTCCACATAATCCAGCATTTCCTTTGTAGGAACTATTCTCGAAAGTGTTGAACTGGTTTCCCAAAGGAATGCGACCGGTCAATTGGTTGTAGGAGAAATCCAGCACTTCCAAGAAAGTCAAAATAGTAAGCTGTAGAGGAATTACACCTGAGAATTTGTTTCTCGAGAGATCTAGAGATTCTAGCTGAGACAACTCTTGCATTGATGGAGGGATCCCTCCATCAAAGGCATTTTGAGACAGGTTAAGCACAATCAACAATTTCAGTTTCCCAATTATAGCCGGGACCTTACACTGAAACCCGTTGTTTGACAGATCCAAGGACACAAAGATAGTCAATATCCTAACAAGCTCCATCTTAGTTCCTTTGTTCATGATGGTCACTGAATCTTGATAGTATTCATACTGTCCAATGACCTTGGGCACTGATTCATTTCCCCCAACCATAACCATTGCACTCAAGCTCTGCAGGAATTCCCTGGACAGCTCCCCTGTGAGCCTGTTGGAAGATAAATCAATTATACCTAAGCTTGGTAGCACAAACTTTGCCCCGGGATGCTTCTCCAACGGACCATACAAACTGTTGTTTTGCAAGACAAGAACTTTGAGTGCTGGGAGTTTCTCTAACCAAAACGGGAATGTATCAGCTATCAAATTGTTCCCTAAATCAAGAACCTCCAGCATTCTGCAGTTGGCCAGAGATCTTGGCAGCTTCCCTTTCAAGCGGTTGCCATTGAGATTCAGAGAGCGAAGACTGGCTGCTGATGCAAAATTAGAAGGCATTTGATGGTATTTGTTGCCCTGCAAGTTCAACACAGACAAAGTTGAAATCCTGACCAGGCAGTCTGGGATCATGCCACTCAAATTATTGTATGAGGCATCAAGAATGGATAAGTTGCTCAGTTTGCACAATCCCACTGGAAGAGATCCTTGGAGAAGATTGCCACGAAGATCAAGAGTTTCCAAATTATTCAAAGAAACATTTGAATGAAACTCAGCAATGACAGATAACAAATTGTGAGAAACATTCACATACTGCAGTGAATTCTTCCATATCCAGCTTGGTGTCTGGCCATCTATCTTGTTATCAGAAAGGTCAAGAAACCATAAGGAATCAAGGCCTTTCAAGAACTTGGGGAACTTAAACATGTTACAGGAGCGCATCACCAGTTTCTCCAGCCATGCATATGAACCATTTCCCGGCTCAAGAAAATCAACTGGATTATGAGAAAGATCCAGCTCATAGAGATTGTTGATCCACAGCCAATCAGGAACATAACCTTGGATGTGATTATCTGAAAGATTTAGGAATTTAAGTTGAACTTGGCTCTTCAGGAAAATTGGGACCTCAGATAAATTGCATTTCCCTAAATGCAACTCTACTAGTTGAGGGAAATCAAAGCTTTTGTCATCAGTTTCAACTGTCAAACGGTTGCTGGAAAGATCTAAAATTGTCAAGTTTTTGAGGTTCTGCAACATCTCTATTTTCACACTACCACTAAAGTTATTAGACGCCAATGATAGACTATTAAGGTTTGGGAGCTCAAAGATTGTTGCAGGTACCACCCCACTCAATTGATTGCCATTCAAAAGCAAAGTCTCCAAAACTGAGGAGGATGCATCAGAGACCTCGTCGAGTTCACCACTGAATTTGTTATCATTAAGGTGCAAGTTTTTCAGAGAAGGCAGTGTGAAAACAGATGAGTGAATTCTACCCGTGAGGAGATTGAACGACACGTGAAAGTCTGCGAGATTTGGCACACTTCCACTATGAAATGGGGGTAAAAAACCAGTGAATTTGTTGTAACTAATATCCAACTCAAAAATTCTAGTGAGGTTGGCAAGTGATGGTGGAAGTAAACCTGAGAAATTGCACCTAAAAATCCACAAACTTTCCAGAAATTGAAGATTCCCAATGGACTTGGGCAACTCTCCATGAAAGTTTGTTTCATAAAGTGCCAAATATTGCAAAGAGCTGTTCTTTGGAAACTCTGGAAACTGACCATTCAGAAGGCCATTTAAAGAAATATCAATGCTTTGCAGGTTTGGAAGGAGAAAGATCTTTTCTGGGAAATCTCCATACAGCTGACAAGAAGCTAGATTGAGACTTCCCAAGTTTACAAAATTCTCCAACAAAGTAGGAACCTCAGAAAGATTGTTGTTTTCTAGCCACAAATAAGACAGAGATTTTAGCCCTCCAAATGAAGGATGGATAGGACCATTGAGACCACAATAGGACAGACTCAAAACCTCAAGATTAGGGAGTGCAGAAGACAAAGCTTGAGACCAGTTAGACCCTTGAGCAGACAGGTCTACATAATCAAGATAAACCACTTTCAAAGCACTCAAATTCCTGAAAAAAGATTCAAGATTCGGTTTTTCCAGCCTGAGACGATGGAGCTCTTCAAAAGCAAAGATCCGGTCGGAGTCCGGGGCATTAAACGTCGGTGGCAATTTACAAACTGGCGTGGAAAGATCAAGCGACACTAACCTCGTCAGCTTCGAAATCCCCGCAGGAACCTGGTCAGAGAAACAGGAATACGAGAGATTAAGATGAGTTAAATTCCTCAGTTTCTCGAACCCTGACGGAATCGGACTCGGCTGGAAATTATTGCGAGCAAGATTGAGACTTTGGAGATGTTGAAGCTTGAAAATGGAAGAAATATGGCCTGAAAGCATACTGGAACTCAGGTCAAGTCCAGTGACATAACCAGCATGGTCACACGTTACACCATTCCAAGAACAACAATCCTCGCCCATATTCCATTCCATCACTTTCGCCGTAGACTGGCCATTAAATGGAGAAGGGGGCGATGGGTGATCGATAACATCTCGTCGAAGCTGCGCCAACGCCATTCTTTGGCTCTCTACACACCGCTTATGCGTTCCTGGCAACGCCGATGATGATAGAACAAGAACACTATGCATTGCAAGAACTATCACAACTAGCTTTAGATGACTGTAAAGAGGTCCCATTTTTTTTTTTTCTTTCTATTTTTCTTGAAAAAAGATAGGAGTAGAATGGGCTAATAGCTGATGTTAATAGCCATGCATAAAGGAATTCTCAGAATTCCAAGTATTTATAGAAGTGTTATATGAAACTGCCAAAGGCAGGCCTTGTGGTCAGGCGTCACCCATTAAATATGAAAGTATACATTAAATATTTATTTAATGTATTTAAGTGATAGTGTATTTTTAAAACATTCTTTTTGAGTTGGCATCTTTCAGCAGCAAATTGGGATAGTGGGGCCAGAAAATTAGTGTGGATGGTAAAAAAAATTCAGAAAATTCCAATGTGTCACTATCTTGATTAAGTGTGTACTAATTAAATTGGATTGAAAGCAATGACCCCATTTAACTCAGAATATGATATGGTGCATATCTATAGCAAGTGTTTGATCGGGTCAGAATATACACCAACCTTAGATCAAAGGTCCTGATTAATCATTAATTATCATGTGGGAGGATATATATATATATATATATATATATATATATATATATATATATATATGAAGATAATTTTTATTTTAAGTGGTTGTATTATGGTATTTCTAGGTATTGTTTAAAGTTTAATAAGGTGCATAAATTTTACATTTAATGTGCATCTAACATTTAAAGTGCATCATTTTAACATTTAATATATGCCACTTCTACACTTAAGATGCATCAATTTGAAACTTAAGGTGCATAATTTTGAACCTTAAGGTGCATTAATTCAACAATGGTAAGAGGAGAATGCATTCAATTCCCATGAAGCCTTTTTTTTTTTTCCCTTTGATTTGAGCCATTGTTGATTTAAGATCAAAGACTCAAATTTCAACACATCTTTTACTTACGGTTATATTCTTTTTCCGTTAGCTAGAATTTTTTTCTCACTGAATTTTTTTCTAGTCTAAGGTTTTTAACGAGACAACTGGCGCATGTCACGAACCGTTTAATCAGATTTTTCAGCCCGAACCCTTCTTCTTCAGCTCGACGTCAAGACACAAATTAGGGGCTACTTAATAGCTTAGGGAATGTATCGCAATTCTAACTTCCCTATACGTTCGTACTCTTGTTTTGTAGTCGGGTTAGGATCAAATGGTGCGGGTCATGGTCAAAATCTACGGGTCAAACCTTGTGCCTATATAAAGGGCATTGGCCCTTCAATTAAGGGAGCACCTCTTGATCTCCACTACTCATCTCTATCTCTCTCTCAAAACACTCTATATACTCTCTAACATAGGGAATAAAATTAAACAAGCTCAATTCCACACAGTAGTTCATATACATTCATATACATAGAATACTAAACACAATTTATATGCATATTATAGACCGTTTATATACACTTGGTATACCCGAGTTGAATAAACGGTATCATGTATTGTGTTAAGAGTTTAAGTGTATTATGTTAACAGTTTATGTGTATTATGTATTATGTTAAGATTATGTGTATTATGATAGGAGTTTATGTGCATTCTACTCTACAATTATGTACATACAAAACAGAGTATTTTTAGGGCGTACGATGCACGATATAAGAATTGTGGGGACTTGGGGTACACATGGGAAAGAGGCAAAGTCTAGGGTTGAGGCAAAAAAAGAAATGCTCTGGACTAGGGGTATGCGTTTCGTTTTTCAGTGACTAATCCCCTCGCTGAATTGTAAGCTCCTCTTTTGGGTGGGACAGTTGGTCTGGAGATTTAAGGCTCCATTCCCAAAGCCAAAGATCAAACCCTTGACCTTTGGTTAAGGATGAATGAGTCCCTTCCACTCAACCACACCTTCCAGGTTGTTTGATTTTTATTTTTATTTTAAAAATCGATTTGGTTTTGGTTTTTTTCAATTTTGAAACACTGCTGGAAATTTTCAATTTTCTGACCACTTTTCCGACCACCAACAAAAGTGGTCGGAAAAGATGAATTTTTTTCAATTTTTCGTCAAGAGTTGAGTTGGACGAAAAAATGTCGAAATTTCCGACTATATTTACCAGGTGGTCGGAAATAAGTCGAGAACTTTTTTTGAACTTTCAATTTTTAAAATTGATTTTAGTGTCGGGAAGTCAGAAATCCTTATTATTATTATTATTATTATTATTATTATTATTATTATTATTATTATTATTATTATTATTTTCTTTCGAAACTCTCCACCCCATTTCATTTTCGCCACTTATCCCTTGTAGGGTTTTTAAATTTACCCCATTTGGCCATTTCTCGCACAACTCATTTCGCACAGAGGACTCAAAAAAAAATTGGACCATTTCGCTAAGCTATTCTCGCACGCCGCTCAGCCATTCTCGCCCGCTCACCGCCAACGTTCGCTCAGCCACCGTCCACCGCCGCGCCGAGCCGCACAGCCACCGTTCCCCTTTCTAAATGTGGTTAGTATTATTAGTTTCTAAAACAGACTCCTTGTCTGATTTTCAGTACGTGAAGCTTTCGCTTAATCGATTACAGTTCTACTTGTTTCTATATATTTTGTTGGATTTTGCTGTTTAGATTTGATGCTGAAAGTAAGATATGCTGATTTCTTCTTTATCTATTTGTATTCATTTCTTCGTAGGTTGTTGATAATCAATTATGGATGCAGTATGAATAATTATATAAACTAATATGATTTCCTCTCTGTTTAAGACGATTTCTAATTTGCAATTCTGTGTTATTCATTAGATCTGATTTTTAGAAATTGAGGTTTTGAGCTGAGAAATTTGTATATTGATTTGTGTAGAATCTAACTGTTTGGTTTGAATTTTGTTTTCATATTATGCTTACATCTTTGATTGTTTTCATTTACCATGTTTATCTTTTCTCTAATCTGTCTGTTTTCATTAGCTAAGCACTTTGCTCCCTAATGCAGCAAAGGTATGAAGTGCCACCCAATTTTAGAAGGTTATTGAGTTCAAAGATGAGAAGACTGCAGAGTTCTGAATGTTCGTCTGCAAGTAAATTTACTTCACACATTTGGTTATAATTAGCCTTTGCCTGTGTTTGAATTATGTACCTCTGCTTGTGTTGTAGGCTGAACCAGAGACAGATGAGGTGTATGCACAAATAACTTTGCTTCCTGAAACAGATGTAAGTTTTAACTCCCTTTAAAACTTTAAGCTTTTGTACTTGTGTGGGTTCACAAGATGCTGATTATTAGTTTATGAGATCATTATGTTACGTTACTTGGTAAGAAGTTGTTCTTTAAGGTTGTGGGAGGCCTTACTAAATGACCTAAGCGAGGGGAACAGAAAGGCAGCATGGATAGATAGGGAGCCCTATGCTTATTGGAAAGGTAATCCCGATGTTACTGAAAAAAGGATGAAGCTCCTCAAGTGCAATGTCTCAGACAATCAGGACTGGAATGCCCATCTTTACACTCAGGTGAGCTTTAATAACGCATTCTGCTCGCCTTTGTGTAATTAAAAGTGTATATATGCAGTCATTTATCTGTTTACTGCTAGCAACTATCGTGCAAGAAATGTATCTATGTGCAAATGCAGAACAATAGTATTACTTCTTTGCATTTTGGTTATGATGCGGTGCTACTCGACTACTGGTTCATGTTCATTATGATTTTAACATTTGATGCTTTTGGCTCTTAAGTTTATTCATATAGTATTCATTTGGCATAAATCTCAAATATACATGATTTACTACTGGTTCATGTTCTAGTATTCATTTTACTAATGACGGCCTTCATAGTTCATATATACATGATTTATTCACTATGCTATTCTTATTGATGTTTGCATCCTAGTTCTGCCCTTTCATGTATGATGTGTGGATAGAAGTATGAAAATAGAAAGCTTTCCAATTTCACTAATTCAACATTTATTATGAAATAAAGGTAATTCACTTTTCATCCCTTGTATGTGATCATTGTGATGGCAATTCTTTTTTTCCCCATTGAGTTACAAAATTGACAAGAATGACCTCTCAATTGATAGAAATTGGACAGAAATAGTCCCTCTGCTGGTATCTAAATTTGGCTTGAAACTTAATACATCATCTTCCTGGCATTGTGTTCTTCTTGAAGTTTTATCATCAATGCAAACTCGCTTAAAGTTGTTTGCTTTTTTATTCAGTGATTGGACGTCTCTCCTACAGGAATTTTTACCTAGACAAATTGCAATTACTCGTGCGAAGAGGGAGTGGGAATTGGACATCGTTCTCGGTATCAATTGATGGTAAAAACTTTTAATTTTAGGTTGAATTTCAATAAAAGTTCAGAACTTGCAAGAAGATGTGTGCTCGTTCCTTTATCCGTCAAATCCTCTTTCACTCATCATTGAACCCAAAAGTTTCTCCCGTTTTGTGGTAGCCATTTATGGTTTAGAACTTTAAAATAGATGCTTATAACTCATTTGTAGCAACGCTTAAGAATAGACCATTTGTAACAATTGTTTCAAGCTTCTTATAACTCATTTGGAAGCTGAAACAATTGCTACAAAACCTTATTAGCATGCATGTTTAGCTAATATTTTGGCAAATGTATTTTTGATGGTGAAACAATTGCTACATCTTGATTTAAATGATTGACTAATGTTTGATTTCCTTAAATTGTTAATTGTATTGTAGAATTTAATATTGTGGTGATGAAATTTGTATAATTGTAATAGGTCTAATTCATTTGATATTTGTAGAATTTAAATTTTTTTTTGTTAGTAAATCTTACCGACCACTAGGTGGTCGGTAATTCAATTTTTTTAATTTTTTCTTTGTAAATCTTACCGACCACCGGTGGATGGTAATTCCGACCAATTACCGGCCACCAGTGGTAGAAAATATGCTCTCTTTATCCGACAATTAATAGTTCCGACCTCCTAAAAAAAGAAACCGGTATTTCCGACCACCTTGACTAGTTGTCGGTGATAGCGTGAGCTTTTTTTCCGAATCCATAAAATGGTCGGTAAGTTGGTCGGAACTGTATTTCCGACCGAAAATCTCCCTTTTCCGACCACTTTGCGGTGGTCGGAAAAATGCAGAATTCCAGCAGTGAAACAATGAGACCATTCAATTTCAAATTTTAGTTCAATTTAATTTATGTTTGGTTTGAAATATTTCGGTTTCGGTTAAGTTTAACAATTCAAACATTTTTTAGTTCTCTTGTGCACATATTTATTTTCGCTAATAATTTAAATTTAAAAATTAAAAGATCTAAACAAAAAGTCCACAAAGCATATTTCAAAATTTTCAATATAAAATAAGTTCAAACCAAACTGACATCTTTACCTGTTTGTCTGCCGTCCGATAGTAATATCACAAACTCGTAAAGAAAATTTGAGAACAAAGAACAATTGTAAAAATTTGAATTAATGAATTGAAGATTTAATATATATATATATATATATATATATATATATATATATATATATATATATATATATATATATATAGGCGGGTTCAGGTGCGGTAGTGTCTTACGGTGCGGTTATTTCTTACGGTGCGGCAACACCAATAGTTCACCAAATATGCACCATCAACGTTAGGAAATACACCACACAAAACAGAGTAAACAGAGCCCTGCATCACCAAACACACACCATTAGGTGTGAGTAAAAACACCATACACTGTTCGGAAATACACCATTGGGGGTGGTGAGTTATATGATGTGGTGGTGAGTTATATGATGTGTTTTTTTGAGTCTGTGGTGTATTTTGTGATGTTTTATTACATTTCATTGGGGTGTGTTTTTATTACACTGTTGGTGCATATTGTTAACACTGTTAGTGTATTCTGAAATTTGACCGCACCGCCGCACCGTAAGACCCCGCCGCATATGAGCGCTCTTATATATATATATATATATATATATATATATATATATATATATATATATAATCGGCCGATTTTTAATATTAAACCAAAACCAAACTATTCGATTTGATTTCAATTCGATTTGTCTCGATTTGAATAACCCGAACCGAATGTACACCCTACTCTGGGCCATATGCTAATAGTATAGAAGGCATGGAATAATTTCAACTTGACATCATCAACTCATCAATTCAAGCAACCTAATTTTTTCATTTACTACGATTCAGTGTCTTGTAATATATCTTGTAAAAATTTATTCAAGAATTTTCAATCTGTCCCTATTTTGATTTATAAATTTAATATAAAGCCATGACCCCACTTATGATAGAGCAAAATAGGATATGATGCATATCCATAACTACCTGTTTGATAGGGTGAATTTTATTAATTTAAAAAAAAATTACAAAAGAGAACTTTTATTCATCAATTACGTGATATTTTCAAATTTAATTTCAATTAATAATGTGATCATATTTTTAAAATTATATTCATTTCATTTCACCAGGACTATGTGGTCTAATGGTACTCGGGTTAAACTTTCATTTGAAAGATTATGAGTTTGAGCCCTAGTGGAGACGGGGCGTTATTGGTTTTTTGTGTTTCAATAGGTTGAGAAAGTATATGAACAGATACTACATTGTAATAGAGCTAGTAGCATTCAAAAAAAAAAAAATATTCATTTCATTTCATTTTCATAAAAAAAGAATAGTTAAAAAGTAAATTATTACGGAGTATCTTTCTTTTGTTACTTTTTTTTTTTGAAAGTAAATCAATTCGATTTATAGATGTGACGGAACAAAGTCAGGAGGGAAATAGTCCCAGTACAAACTGTTAGTCTGACTATAGGCTATTATAGTTAATGAATGAGCTAAAAACTTATAAGATCGCGAAATAAAATGGATAGAACAGTAATCAAAGTGCGTGGTGATTGATTAATTTTGGTTATTTTATATAAGAATCATGAATATTAAAAAAAAAAAAAAATAGTTGGGTCACACTTGTGTGAAACCGCCTCACGGATCCTTATCCTTATCCTTATCCGTGAAAGGAGTCGGGTCGGGTTAGACCAATATGCAAATGTAATACTAAATTACTTTTAATTAAGAATGAATGAGTCTCTTCCACTCAACCACACCCTCAGGCGTTTGCTTCTTGCATCTAATACTCCATTCAATTTTCACAATTTCACTTTCCTAAATATAGTCTTCCAGGCTCTAGCCTTGTTCTCAGATGACATGTAGTGACTCTCCTATATGGAGAGGTCATGAGATCAAGCCTCAATCAAAGCAGTATAGATGAACAGATATTACAATGTAATAGAGTCAATAGTACTCGAAAAAAAAAAAAGTCTATAATTCCACTTCCTTGAAACAAAGATAATTCCACTTCCTTGAAACATCCTATTTTCACAATTTCACTTTCCTAAATATAGTCTTCCAGGCTCTAGCCTTGTTCTCAGATGACATGTAGTGACTCTCCTATATAGAGAGGTCATGAGATCAAGCCTCAATCAAAGCAGTATAGATGAACAGATATTACAATGTAATAGAGTCAATAGTACTCGAAAAAAAAAAAGTCTATAATTCCACTTCCTTGAAACATCCTTCTCACAAGTGTGAGAATTCCAAAAGATAATTCCACTTCCTTGAAACATCCTTCTCACAAGTGTGAAAATATCAAAAAATTCAAAAAAAAAAAAATTATATACTTTCCTTCATTAACTTTAAAATTTACCTGCATTTGGGAGGATGTAAATCACGGTAACTCAATGACTCAGCAGACACTAGACAGGGCTAAATGTCGGTGCGTACAAGGGATCTTCCCACTTTAAGCATAATCTCCCATTGTCACTGCCCGAGGATCGAACCATGATCTCTTTTAAATACTGCCTACTGAATCATTAAGCTAAACCCGTACGAACACAATAGTCAAATTACCTTGTTTGGTGCAGTGGAGCACTCCAATGAAGTGGGGCAAATGAGAAAATTAGAATGGTAAATTAAAGATATTTTGCTTAATAGTGTGATGAAACAAGTTGAATACATGAGGTACCAAGACTATGTGGTCTAATGGCACCCGGATTGGATTTCTATTTGGAAGGTTGTAAGTTTGAACTTCAGTGGAGGCGTTATTAGCTTTTTGTGTTTCAGTAGATTGAGAAAGTATATAAATAGATACTACATTGTAATAGAGTTACTAGCATTCAAAATAAAAAGTTGAATACATGAGGTGAAAGGACTGTCATGATCATCAATATCTAAGATGCATGAAAGAAAATACAATAAATAAAAAGGTGACTTTATTTATTCAATTATACCATGCCATGTAAGTCACCGTGTATGATAAATCAAATTTATCAATTGAGAATTTTAAAAAAATCACAAGTATTTAATTGATATATATTTTTGTATTTTCTTATAATGTTAAAATAAAAAATAAAATAAAAAGTGAGAGTATGAGTAATATTTTTGTTGGATTAATATTTTTTTTGAGTGACAAGAACAATCTGTAGTCATTACCCGTGAATGTGCACGGACTAAATCATGTTTTATGACCTTAGTCGATATTGTTGGGTTAATACTTAACAGGTCATTTGGCAAGCAAATCAAGGGTAAGTTTGTCTATTCATTATCTTTTTTCTATACTTTTTTCTATACATCCGACATAGAATAAAAGTTATTGGGGGAGGGGTGATAATTAGAGTTCCATGAAATGAGGGATTACAATCCCTTCTAAAGGCATCCATAGTCGATTTCACTCTTTTTTCTTAACCGGTGATGTTCTAGGTAAATAACGTAATTTAAAAAATTAAGGATTTAGGTAGCAAATGAATAAAAATTTCATATATCTAAGACCTTGTGGTCCAATGGTACCAAGTTGAACTCCCACATGGGAGGTTGTAGGTTTGAGTCTCAGTGGGAGAGGAACAAAGCAGCTTCGTCCCGCACAGGCATATCAAGGACAATGAAAATTGACCTTGAAAAAGCCTATGATAGGCTGTCTTGGAATTTCTTGCGCAACACTTTGACGGAGCTTGGCATCAACAATCATTGGATTAATATCATAATGGAATGCGTATGTACCCCGAGACTTGCTATTCTCTGGAAAGGGGAACAACTAAACTGGATTTATCCAACAAGAGGTTTAAGAGAATGGGACCCCGCAAAAATTGGAGGGCTGAAATCTCTCACATATTTTTTGCTGATGATATGGTTTTAGTTGCAGAAGCCACTGTGGACCAAATGAAGATTGTGAGGCATTGTTTAGCCGAGTTTGAGGAACTTTCAGGTCAAAAAGTTAGTTTGCAGAAATCCCAAATCTTCTTCTCCAAGAATATTGATTCAGAGCTCTTTCAAGCCATTGCACAAGAGGCAGGAATCCCAACTACGAATAATTTATGACGGTATCTCGGGGTCCCTTCAGTTCATGGGAGAGTTACTAAGAATCTCTTTGTACCTTTAATTGATAAATTTGACACAAGACTAACAGGTTGGAAAGGGAAGCATATGACTTTGGCAAGGAGGGTAACTCTTACTCAAAGCGTCCTGAGTGCAATGCCTTACTTTATGATGCAATCTATGTATATCCCTAAAGGAATTTGCGACACCATTGAGAAAAAAAAAATAAGATCGTTTATTTGGGGGGACGGTACACGTACACCTAGTCAGCTGGAACTTGATCACCATGCCAAAGGATCGTGGAGGGCTAGAGTTCAGGAAAATTGGAGAAATGAACCTAGCTTTCCTGGC